TCTTCCAAAGCAGAGAGCCCTGAACCGCTGCTCTGCCCTGGGTCAGGGTCACTGTCAGTTCTAGACATGGGCCAATGAGTGCCCCTCTAGATCAATATGTAAAATTCCTAAATTATGAATGTATATTTACCTATTAAGACATAGATATTTTATTAAACCAAATTGAATAGACATTTCACATCATGCGGCTCTCTTAATATATTTTTTATATGATGCTTTTCTGTGCTACCATGAAAACACGCAGGATCTCCAGTCAGGCTAGCGCCATGCTCGCCCCTAAGGGACTAGAGCAGCAGTTTCATCTCCTCCACCTCAGAAGTGAGATGGGCCATCTGCCCAGATATGCCCTCTGATCACCTGGAGCTCCTCTTGGTCCTATTCCGCAGAGGCCCTATAGCCTCAGGAGCCATACGCTTCATGGCTGGCTGGCGCCAGTGTTGGGAAAGTTCTCTTTCTACGTGAACTAGTTCAAAGTTCAGTTCACACATTTTAAAATGAACTAGTTCAGTTCATAGTTCACAATTCCAAAAAACGAACTAGTTCATAGTTCTTTTTTTTCTTTTTTTTTCATATATTGCTCAATTACACCATAGCCTACTGTAGAACCACAGACAGCAATTATTTTATCAGTTATAACACTGAAACTGTGCGTCAGATTTCATCTTCATATCCAGTTTTGAATCCTTATCCAACCAGGGTTTACATTAGCATAGAGGGGACAGCATTTCCCCATTGTTGCTTTAATGCTTTGTTGCTGTCCATTCACTTCACACTAGTAGCAGCTGCAGCTTTCCCCCCCTACAGTATATTCTCAAAAACATCAGGAAAAATGTGCTGCTTGAATGGTCTTTTTTATGAGTAATTATTAAAAGAAAAATAGGAAAGTAGTCTATAAGGTGCAAATGTTTTTTTTTTATTTTAATAATTTTTTTCCATTTGAAATTCCATTTCAATACATACTAAAAAGGAATACTGGAATCCTGGAAAATTATACCAGGCAGGTTTAACAAACAAGTTACATGGATAGTAAAACCCTCAAGAACAGGGGTCTTCTTTTCCAGACCAAGGACCCCCAAACTGATGGCGAGATGGAGCGGGGACCCCCTAACTATATATATTGTATGAAATTGTGTCTTATAGTCACTCTATTACAGATGGAGTAATGTAAAGAAATTAATTTCTCCCTGGGATTCTTAAAGTTTTTCTGATTCTGATTCCTGGTTGATGGGACAGGTGTTGTGAAGGAAACGGTGCCCAGCTTGAAAGAGCTCCTGTGTGTCTCTGAATGTGAGCATTGATGACTGAAAGACATCTTCTGCCTCCATTTATCTGTTTACTACAGTCTGTTGATTTCATGTTAATGAGTATTTAAAGACATTTCAATTAGTGGGGGGAAAAAATGCAGGGGGGGAATATAAAAATATCAACTAACCATGCAGACCCACATGCAGTACCTCCGTAGACCCCCTAGGGGTCGCGGATCCCCTGTTGAAGACCTCCGCTGAAGAAGATTTTACTAACACAAACTGAGGGACCAGGCTGAGGTAGGAATTTAAGGTTACTGAAGTGCGGATTTTTTTACTGAAAGCCGGCGGGCAAACTTGTTGCCATCATACTCACCGACCACCTGGTCATAAACCTGTTTTAAGTCGCCTCCATGCTGCTGTGGATTCCACGCTGCATTTTGTTTTGATGACGCACGCGGCTGTAGGCTACGACGCTGGTAGCTGCTGTTGCCAGATTGGGTGTTTTTCCCGCTACATATTAAGGCCTGTTTACGGTGTGATTTAGCCGGGGTTTCGCCTGGAGGGCTCTATAGAAATCTGGCAACCTATTGAACGGAGTTGAACTGAGAGAGTGTGCAGTTCACAGACGCCAGAATGAACGAGTTCACGATAACGTTCACCAGGCAATAATGCAGTACGTTCAGTTCACGTTCGCCCAAAATATGAACGAGTTCATGAACTTTTGTTCAATGAACGCGTTCAGGCACAACACTGGCTGGCGCCTTGAAGGCCAGCCAAACATGCATTACGCAGTGACAAGGGCAGGACAGAATAATTAGGGTAGGCCGCATCAGTCAAGGCCTCTTTTAGGTGATCTGGTCTCAAAAAAGAGGGACACAGAGCATGCCCATCCTCCAACTGGAGATGGCGCCAAACAACAAGCTCTGCAACATGACACGTCCAACATCCCACACTCAGAGAACTAGGTCAGGTCAAGCTGAAATCGCCAGTCTTGACACTAAAGCTGACGAGCGAACAGGCCAGGATACCCAGTCGAGCAGAAAACGCCACCAGGGGTTCCCCAGCAGTGAGAAGCTGCAAGGAGCACTACGATCACCGTAGCCATTGAGAAGTACAAACCAGCAAGATTGCAACAATGAGGCAAGCCGAGTACGGCAGTGAATTTAAGAAATTCACGCCTGAATATGGCTGCTGCATAACGAAATATGGACAGCCGAACATGACTGCAAAATTAAACAAATAAACAAAAGGAAAGCCCAAAAACTGCAGCGCTTAAAAAATACAGGCAAGCCGGACACGGCTGCACAGTATATGAAAAAATGCAGGCCTTAAAACGGCTGCATTCTAAACAAAAATGCAAGCCTGAATACGACTGCACAGTAAACAAGCCCAAAAACGGCTGCACAGTGAACAAAAATGCAAGCCCGAAAACAACTCCACAGTAAACAAAAATGCAAGCCCGAAAACGGCTGCAATTAACAATAAAGGGCAAGACGAACACGGCTGCACGACTGAATGAAAGAAAGGCAAACAAGCCGATCAGAATCGGCTAAGGCCTTAGCACCAGTTATAGGGAATTGATGCGGAAAGCGAACGCATCCCCGCATCGATTCCCGTTCGATTCCTGTTCTTCCTTTATTTGATTCCGTTGAACAAAGGAAGAACAACCTACCAATCCAAGAAACTAAGTTGTGTCTCTGGAGGGCGAGATGATCCTTGCAGCTCCGACCGTAGTCTCAATCAGTGACCTACCTCCTGTTCAACCTCCATGCGAGAAGTTGAAAAGGGACTGAGCTGTCATTGTCACGTGACTATATAGACTTACCGGTGTCACCGGAGGAATTCATCCTCGTCAGAATTAAGTTTAAGATAGGAAGAATCTTTACTTTAGATAGGAAGAATGTTATTTTAGACACCTGAAAGTAAAAGCCCAATACACACCAATGGGAAATGTGACGTCGTTTGTAGTAGTAAGAATTACATTTAAAGGAATAGTACACCCAAAACATGATTAGCCTTCATTTTCTACTCACCCCCATGCTGCACAACACTCTGGAGTACTTTTTTGATATCTCAAATGCATCTGGAGATCTGGGAGGCTTCTTGCTATCTGCTGACATTCAAATAATGGAGGTCTATGGTGACCGAGACAGAAAGGTCCATAAAAGTCCACAAAAAACGTGTCAATATTCCTCCATACTGCTCGTCCAATGTATTCCAAGTGTCCTGAGTGGGTAGCATCCAGAATTTACTCGAAACGAAGTCATTTAGAATGTTTTTAGAGCATAAACAGTAGTGTATAGTAGTGTTGCGCCGATGCCATTTTTTGGCCCCGATACCAATACCCGATACCTGGCTGTGCAGTATCGGCCGATACCGAATACCATAATAATGTAAAATTATTGCCATCATGGCTTTGTCAAGCTGCTGCCTACCTTTGTGAATCAGGAAAAAATCTAATACAAAGTGAATCCAGTAGAACTTTTTATTGCCTACCAGGAATGGGTGACAATAGTTGAATAAACTTATGGCTCTCAAAATGGTATCGGTGCCCTAATTGTTGGTACTCGCCGATACCGATACCACCATTTTAGGGCAGTATCAGGGCCCCGTCCGATACTGGTATCGGTATCGGTGCAACACTAGTGTATAGGATTTCCTGAAAGCGCGCACATGCACATTCACGACGCTACGGAAGCCGGCAGACCAAACCAGATGAAAGTGCGCATTCAGCGTCTGCTCTGCCAATAATGCAAGCGTAGAAGAAGAAATGTGCCGTTTACCTGTGCAAAGAAAGAAACAACGAAAGAAAAATGTCTGAGGACTTCAGTGTTGAGGAAGAGCATGAGTTCTTTGCCGAGCTGAATGCGCTGGTTTGGTCTGCCGGCTTCCGTAGCGTCGGGATCGCGCATGTGCGCGCTTTCAGGAAATCCTATACACTACTGTTTATGCTCTAAAAACATTCTAAATGACTTCGTTTCGAGTAAATTCTGGATGCTACCCACTCAGGACACTTGGAATACATTGGACGAGCAGTATGGAGGAATATTGACACGTTTTTTGTGGACTTTTATGGACCTCTCTGTCTCGGTCACCATAGACCTCCATTATTTGAATGTCAGCAGACAGCAAGAAGCCTCCCAGATCTCCAGATGCATTTGAGATTTTAAAAAAGTACTCCAGAGTGTTGTTCAGCATGGGGGTGAGTAGAAAATGAAGGCTAATCATGTTTTGGGTGTACTATTCCTTTAAGATATCTAAAATTTTCATTTTAGATAGGAAGAATGTTATTTAAGATATCTGAAATTTAAATTTTGGCTAGAAAGTAATGCATTTGAGACATCTGAAATATATATTCAGTCAAGCTAATAAATGTCCAAATGGCCTCTTAAAATTTGTAAAGATTTCTGGTATTTGAAAGTTTCTTACTGTACAATAATATTTTTTTGCATCATGAAATTAAATTTTTGCTGGCAAAAATGTAATTTAGGATATCTATGTGTGCAGTTCTGACTAGTAGCAATGTAGTTTTGACCAGGAAGAATCTTATTTTAAAGACCAACAAATGAAACAATAGAGGACAGCGCTTCTAATAAATGTCAAATTTGCCTGCTATCATCGGTTTTTATTCAACTATTACATGATAAATGCACTTACCATAGTTTAACCCTAGCTCCATCCCTATAGTGACGTTTCACTTAATGAATGACGACGTGTTCTCAGTCTGCTCTTCGTTTCTCTGATTGGTCCAAAGGAAAATGGAAATGACATTAACCAAGATGGCGCCGGGAGACAGAGGAAAGTGATGCCAGAGAGGAACAACAAGCGTCACAGCTGGCACAAAAGTGTGCATATATTCTGTCTTTGCAGCTGATTACAAGCGGACGCGTTGGACATCTACGAGCACCTGATAAAGATACATGTTCTCCGTTAACTGTTTACTTTAACAAGCGACTAAAAGTGGCTAACGTTTAGCTTTCTAACTGCGGAAGGCGACTCGGGGGAAGGCAATAGCCCCAAGTTGAGGTGCGATTGTTTTAAAAAGTGACGTCTCTATATCATACAGCAAACGATTTTAAGGATTCGGTTGGACTCAAAGCAATTGTTTGGGAAGTTACGGCGTTGATGTGAAAAGGTGAGCTCAGGAGACAAGGAGAGGCGTCATCTTTGCTCCTTTGACGCCATGGCTCACTCCCCTCTTCAGAGCGCACTACCGGGGGTTCAGGTAAATATATAACCTCATGCTGTCAATGTGGAAGTTAAATTAAACTACTATTAGACTACCTGCACCTTAAAAAAATTTCTATGTGAGACATAAAGGAAGTGTAACCGTTTATTTCTCTGTTACATTTGGATTTCACTGATAAAAAAAAAAAAAACAACTTATCAAAGTCCATTTAGGTTCCTGGGGGAAAAGGCTGGCTGGTTTATTACCCTGCTGAACGCAGATAACCCTTATAATTGTCTGAAGATTGAACTCTCTCCATCTTTAGTTTTATGTTGTGTTCTTTGCCAAAGTTTACAAGTTATGTAGTTTGTTGGACTTTGGCTGGGTCTTGGTTGGTTGCTAAAACAATCCTAGCTATTTGGAGCAATCTGGAGGCATTTTGCATGTTATTTGCCGTCTCCTTTCATTTAAAATAAATGCATTTAATAAATATTTAGCATTGTAAGTTTTAATTTTTGTTTAATTTCTCAGTAGTGTTGAAAACATTCACTTTTCTTTATGTTTTGTTGAGATTAGTAGTCCTGTATGTAATGTAATTTCCTGTATGATGAATTAATGCCTTCGCTTATGTGGGGTGGGGGAGGATCTTTTTAAACATTTTGCCTGAAAAATTATTGTCAATTTTATACTCTCCCTAAATTAAAAATCTAATTTTGTAAATATGGGATTGATAAAAGTTGATCTTGTTTCCTTTTTTATAGGAATATTTTATTGCTAAAACCAGCATTAATAGGGCTCAAATAAGGGAAAATAACATGCTATGTGTAATGTGGACTTAAGTTAATGTTGACATTTTTTGAAAAGAGGAAGAAATCTAATTATATGCAGTATTTGTTAGGCCAGTTCTGAAACTTATGAGAAAAACACTAAAAGTATAAATCCAGTATGGGAATTGAAAGCACTTTAAGTCCATGACTATAGCAAAAAAAAAATGTATTTAATCAGTTATTTGCATTTTTTACATGATGACATTGTGATATCAAGTGGAATTCAATATATTTTGCAGCTGGTATGACTGGTATGCCATTTTCTGCTTTTTAAATGCACAATTTGTGAAATCATGATTTCATTATAACCAAACTTAATATATATAATCATAAGGGAATTGCTCCCAAAGTCTTTACTTTTAAATATTTGTCTTCACATGTGTATTTGTGTGATGTAGAGGGGTTTCTGTATTTGCCATTAAAGTGTAGCTTGGTTGCAGGGTCTTTCATTTTGGTCTATGATAGCAGACCACAAAGCTGCACGGTGCTGCTGGTAGAGAATGAACCACATGGTTTTGGAGTGAGGTTTAAGCAGAAATAGTTGTTCCAGTAAACCTGCTGACTAAGGATATAAAAAACTACATTCCCTATTATGCATAAGCTTCGGTCATAGCATTGCTTTTCCAGAGGTCATCCTTAACATTATAAATTTCCACTGGATGACTGATCACACCAGTGTTATGAGAGCATTTAGGGTTTGTTGCTTTTGCATTGCTTTGTTCTGCAGTGCTTTGCTTTTCCTTCCCTTGTTTTAAAGTCTCTGCTATTCAGTTCAGCATTTCCCTCTGCCAGCTGTTCAAAGGGCTACTGCTCATCCCACCTGCCTTGTTGGTTTGACCATCATGCATTAGCAGTTTTTACAGGAAACTATTCTCACGAGGCGGGGGCTGTAAAGCAATTTACTCTTGAGAGCCTGTAGATCATCGCTTTAGAGCTAGGTTACACTTAGTTTTAATTTGTACTCTTTACTTTGAATTCAAATTTTGCTCTCTAGTACTATACAGAATAATGTCATTATGTATTCTAAACAATTTTTAGCTTTCATCTGGGCTTTTTTGAAGGCCATTATTCCCTCCCAGGTGTCCCATAGGGAAATGAGCCATTTAGCTCAGTCAATAATTTAGGATGCAGTCCCTATGTTTTTGTTTAGGCTTTGCTTTGAAGGCCATTAAACCACAGTGATGTATATGCATTATGTGGCTTTATGGCAGACGATTTACTAATTGTAGCACTTTTGAAAATAGCTCTGCATACTAATGTCCATGCCAATCTGAGAACAAAAATATATTGGCTTTTCAATATTGATCAGATTATATCCGTTTGGAGTCATTGGGACTTGCTTACTCGTCCACACTTGGTGTAGAAGTCAGACAAAAATGGAACTAGGTTGAAGTAAACTCTAAGTTTACATTTAAAACTTTGTCTGTTGGCTTAATTCTGGCATTTAGAATAGAAATATCCTTAATTGCCCCACAGCAGGGATTTTCAGGCATTTTAGTCACAAAGTGAAACTAGGAAAACACTCTGGGAGCGCAGATCTCTGCCAAGTAGCTAATTTCCCCCCAACATAATGTGACTTCCACCTTAGGTTAATACCAGTATTCACAAAGTCTTAGAAAAAAAAAAAAAAAAACCTGGTTGCAATTTGTTGCCAATCACAATCTCTTAAATTTCAGCTAAATCTGAGCATAACTTTTTTTAGTTCTTCCAAAAACAAACCAATGCATATGAAGACATAATGTGCTTTGCAGAGGTAAAGAGACACATTGACGCAAACTGGTTCACACATCAGTTATGTGATGTTTATAGACTTAAAAATAGGATTGAAAACATTGGACTATATAATAAAGGAAATACCTAAATAACAAAAATGAAATCATGTGTGACGACCTAATTGACATACGCAGTTTAATCACATTAAATAAGCATCACAGTCGGCTGACTGAAAATCCACAAAAAGTGCATCTCTGACTGAACTACAGAAAAGAAAAGACCACTCATAAGTTAAGTTACCAGCATTGCCAGCTTGTAGCAATGATTGTTTATGATCATATGCTAGCTTTTGTTTTATGCAATTCATTTTGTTTACATTTATGCGGTAGCAAATTGTTTCATACAATTAAGTAAAAACGTATGTTTCGCCATTTAAGTGAGGAAAAAGAAGAGCGACTGAACTAGGAGAATGTACACACTTATACACCTTTCCCACTGGCCAAAAAACCTGTTTATACCAGGGAACAATTGGCTTTTAGTGGCAGTGCGAACAGCTCACTGACATGTGTCTAGCCGGTTAAAAATCTTGGCTCTGATCAGCATGCTGTAGGAATACCAGAGCCGGGTTGACTCACTAGATTATGTGATACCATTGAACGTATTAACGTATAGACATCAGCACACTGCACCAGCTGCGTCTGATTTAAAAAGCCAAAACAACTGTTTACATCCGTCAAACATGGCGCAGTGCTGGTAAGAGAGATTCGTAAAGATAATGGAGCGAAACAATAAAGCACACTGACTACGTCCAGGCTTCTTTACATGTTGCTCTCCATTGTTTACTTTCCTGATTTATGTCACACTGGTGACATCAACGCTTCCACAGCGTGATGGCACCACCAGACATGCAGCCGTGGGAGGTTAAAACCGGCTTTTTTTTTTGTCAGGGGGAAGAGAGCCATATGCTGTTTGTAAGTGGGCTGAAAAACAGATTATTTTCAGTGGAAAAAAAGAGGCCTTGGATCCACACCTATAGAAATGTGTACCAGTCTTCAGCTTTTCTGTGACCTGTGGTTTGATACGACTGAAATTACAATGTTTTGTTTTCCCCCTTGTGTGTCTTTTTCTCTTCAAGAACTTCAACGCTGATCCAGAGGAACTTTTCACCAAGCAGGAGCGGATAGGAAAAGGCTCTTTTGGAGAAGTCTTTAAAGGCATTGACAAAAGGACTCAGAAAGTTGTGGCCATTAAAATTATCGATCTGGAGGAGGCTGAAGATGAAATAGAGGATATCCAACAAGAAATCACAGTGTTGAGCCAGTGTGACAGTCCCTTTATCACCAAATACCACGGATCTTATCTCAAGGTGACCTTTTTAGTTTAAAAAAGCATATTTGGTAAACTTGCAATAGTTTAGGTTCAGCAAGATTATTACAGTAAAGGGCAATCCCTGCATGCTAGAAAAGGCAAGGTAGGTCAATAAATAATTGAAATGGATGATGGAGCAGCTACCTGTGAAATAGAGTACAGATATTTTAAGAAAATGGGTCATAGAGTAGGCTGACATTTTAGTGGACTTTTTGGATGGTTAGCACTACATTTAATAAGTGCATAGACATTTCAAAGCTGGGGTTTAGACTACTGCATTCAGACCCTCTAAAATTCCCATCACTTAGTTTATAGAGGCAGAAAACTAGTTGTATTTAAGCTTCCTTAAAATAAGAGTTTTAATGCTCTTGTCGCTGATGTGTTTTGATCTATTAGATTTAGATAGAATCCAAGCAAGCCAAGAAAAAGGTAAACCTGTAATTCAAATTGTTTTATTGACCATTATTTTTTGGCAAGTTACAGATTATTTTCTAGGTATAATGCAGTTTTATGCTTCACTTAATGGTGCTTAGAGAGCCTTTCAAAGCTTCTAGTATACTGCATAAAAGGTCTTTTCCTCAGGGACCCAGAGTGGTAGTTTGTGGGAGTGGGGCTCAAACTCAGAACCTAGCGCAATGCCCAATGACGGCACTCCCCAAAGCAGCATTAGCGTAAAGTGTCCCACCCTCCTGTTTGCAGGACGGGTGACTTACCACTAGAGCTAGCTAGCTAGCCGCTAATAATACATAAATAAAGACGGACTGAGGCTCTCATAACTGTTGAACTTTACCACATTTTTTCCTAGACATAAATTAACTTATTTGGGATTTTATGTGATGAAAACGAAACAAAGAAGTACATAATTAAGAAAAAAAGAAAAAAATCTGGAAACTATGATACGTTTGGAATCACCTTTTACTGTAATTACAGCTGCAGTACTAAACGTGTCTCGATTCATTCCCGTGAAAAGTTTTAGACTCTCGCCAGTTTTAAAGTCATATCACACATTGTTGTTAAGTTATTATAACACATGAATACACCTGAGGCTATGCTTTTCCATCATGGCTCTGGTCGAATGCTTGAGGCTTTCTTTCTGCTGGGCGTTAAACTTCTGATAGGAGAAGCACAGGAATGTGACAGATGACAGCACAATTTTCACACATTTACTTGACTCTTTTTTTTTTTTTTTTTTTTTTTTTTTTAAGCACATTAAATAATGAGAATATAAAAAGATATCAATGATATTAGAGAGTTTGGGTTTGTTCTTAAACATACTTTTTCTTAATACCTGATTCTAAACAATATGGCTGAAAGTGACCCTTTATGTTTGGATCAACAGATTGATATTGTTTTATTTGGTTCTCAGAATGCCAAATATTCTCCTGAATGGTGTCTTTAATACGTAACAGTACGTCAGATGGAAGTAAAGGTTCTATGGTTAGCTCTACTAGCAAAACTAACAAACTCTGAAAAGATAAATGTTTTAAGACCCATGAGTATTATGGTACCGGTACTTGAACATTTCCTGAGGTGATGCTTGTTTAAGACATTTGAGCCCAATAAAGAAATAGAGAATTACATTTTATTTACCTTAAAGGTATAGTGGAGGATTTTGGCGAGTTTTTGAAAATGAAAATAAAAATACACACACACAACCATGTACCCACTCCTGAGCGGGAACGCCTATTAAATGCGTGCACAAGGCCATTTCTCCTTGTGCACTCTCTTTAAAAGTTGCTGTTTGCACCACTCATACAAGCTTACGTTTGGCTGTAATCTGTCAACATGGGAAAATGTTTAAGGAAGTCCAAAATCTTTTGAAGGGTTTGTCTCGTGAAAACAGTTTTGAAGGAAGTTCTTCTGGGATTATTGTTTGTCAGACCTGAACGTCTAACAATGTAAAAGAAAGCTGCAAACATTAGCCATCATCCTTCAATCTTTAACGTGTTAAGTTTAATCATAGAATGGTAAACATTCAGAGTTTTACTTCTAGTGGTTGTGTTTTCTTTAATTATTCCTGATCCATTCCTCAGGGTACAAAATTATGGATTATTATGGAATATTTGGGAGGAGGATCTGCTCTGGATTTGGTAAGAAACTAGTCTGAAGTTGGTTACCAATTTATAAGAAAACATACATTTACTCAAGCGGCATGGAGTCACATACTTATATCTTTGTCCCAGTTGGAACCAGGTGCCTTGGATGAAACACAGATAGCCACAATCCTGAGGGAAATTCTCAGAGGGCTGGAGTATCTGCACTCTGAAAAGAAAATCCACAGAGATATCAAAGGTAAATCTGATAAATAGCAGTACTTCAGCCTTTGTTGGAACAATAATCAATGTCATCTGGTAAGAACTGCTCTCTTTGATCCTTTTTTTATTGCTTCTGTGTGAGTTTTCGAATGCCACGGTATCAGGGTTTATCAGTAATAATTGTGTATGTTTGATTTTTATTGTCAAAGGGTGTAATCAAGTTTGGCTTTTATTGGTGTTTTAGGTGTAATATTTCTTTTGAGAATTTAATGTATCTGAATTCCAAAAAAGTTTTTAAAAAAAACCTATACACTGGGCTTTTTTTTGAAGATGTTTTGCTTCCTATCCAGGAAAGTTTTTCAATTTAAAATGTCAGAATTCCTGAATGGGAAGCGAAACGTCTTAAAAACTTGGAAACAATTCCAGTGGATTGTTTTTTTTTTACTTTTTTTGGACCTACTATAAGCTGGATGACTGAGAATCTTCAGCAGCAAATGAATCTGAAGTTTTTAAAAATGCAGCTAAAGTGTACGAGATCTCGCTTTTTCCTTTTTAATCCTCTACGGGTTTATTGGAGTTATTTATGCAGCGTTTATTGAACTGCTATTTTTAGCTGCCAACGTGTTGCTGTCGGAGCAAGGCGAAGTAAAGCTGGCCGACTTCGGCGTGGCGGGGCAGTTGACCGACACACAAATAAAGAGGAACACTTTCGTCGGAACGCCTTTCTGGATGGCACCCGAAGTCATAAAGCAATCTGCCTACGACTCAAAGGTCAGTCAACGTTATTACAGTCACATACTGGAGGTGAACCGCAGCTGGGGTTAGAGCTACATCAGCGTTATAAAAGATGCGGAAACAAAGTGTAAAAGGCCTAGATAAAGCAGCGTGTTGCTTAATCCTTTTCCAGATAGGAGAAACACATGTTAATCACATCAATTAAATCATGAGAAAATCAAAAGATATAAAATATATTAGAGAGTTTGGATTTGTTCTTAAACTTTTCTAAGTTGACAGACTGATATTTTTTTTTTTATTTGGCTCTCTACCAGTGAATCAGATGGAAGTAAAGTTTCTATGGTTAGCTCTTCTAGCAAAACTAACAAACTAAGAAGATTAGGTCAGTAGATGTTGGTGAGAATCAAGATATTTTGGGCCTTTTGAAATCACAGATAACCCGCCTAAATTAACTGGATCAGAATCTTAATTCACCAGGATTATTTTCAAGCTGTGTCTTGTTATACTCTTGTATTTATAGCCTTAAATCAAATGGAAATCTTGTGAATTTGTTTTTATTTCCTCTGACCTCAGTGTGCCTCTTTTGGTGATGAACACTAAAGCCCCATTACAGACGTGTTTTCTAGACTAGAGAAGCCCCAATGTATATTTTTGGAACAACCACAGCATGAGTCAGTGCGACTCTAAAACACAGCTGCTAGGTCGCTGTCCTTGTTTTTTGCAGAACTACTTCAAATACTCAACTCAGTGTTCCATATTTAGAGTCACTTTGTTGTGTTTTAACTGGTCGCTTGTAGCTCAGGTGAGATTTTAATGAAATAATTAAATTTTTCTTGTTTTTACAGGCAGATATCTGGTCATTAGGAATAACAGCTATAGAACTGGCTAAAGGAGAGCCGCCCCACTCTGAGCTTCATCCCATGAAAGTCTTATTTCTCATCCCAAAGAACAACCCGCCGACACTGGAAGGAAACTACAGTAAACCTCTGAAAGAGTTTGTGGAAGCCTGTTTAAATAAGGAGCCTAGCTTTGTAAGTTTAAACCTTTTTTTTCATATCGCTGTGATGAATAAAATAACAAACAATTGTGTTGTAAAATTCTGCTCTGACGGTGTTTGTTTCACAGAGGCCAACTGCCAAAGAGTTGCTAAAGCACAAATTTATAGCGCGGCACGCCAAAAAGACCACCTACCTGACAGAGCTGATCGACAGATACAAGAGGTGGAAATCGGAGCAGTCGCGGGATGATTCAAGCTCCGACGATTCGGATGAGTAAGTTCTGTGTTCTTCGTGGTGCAGAGCTGGAGAAGAGTTAGACTAAATACACTGTTTCTGAATCCCATTTCTCCACAGGGAGCTGGAGGAGGGTAGCAAACCTAAAGCTAACGAGGAGTGGATCTTTGGCACCATCAAGGAGCCCGTTATATTTGAAGAGCCGCCGGCTGAGCCTGTTCAGTTGGTTGAGCCTGTAGAGCTGAGGGTCAGAGCATAACACACTGAACCACAATCCTATTTAAATCCCTACAATCATCATCTCCTTCATTAATGTTGATTGAAAATACTTCTCTTCCAGGTGGAGCAGCCTTCAGAAAGCCTCTCATCACAAAGCTTAACATCGATATTCTCTCCATTGTTCTCGGAGGTATTATACTCTAAATTACGTCTAATTGAAATAGTGATCTGTACCATTTAGAACCCATGCAATCTTCACTTCGTTTTCCCTTTTCTGGATTGAAATTTTCTGCGGGTGTTTAATGGAAATGCTGTGACTCTGAGTCTATCCTGTCTGTCTGCATGTAATCGCGCACACAAATTATTCTGCATATGTTTTTTGTAGTTGAGAGAAAAGGGTGAGACCAGTAATGGAAAGCCAGAAGCTGCAGAGGAGCTGAGGAAAGCCATTTTCCTGGCTGAGAACATCCACCCGGGGATCTGCGACTCTCTGGTTGCTGAACTACTGCAGAGGCTTCAGAGGTAAGAGAAGTGAAAAGTGTTGATGCACCTTGAACCTCTTCAGATGCTGCTACTTTGAAACTGTGTTTTTATGTGATAGACCCACAAACAATACTGCATAACAGTGAAGCCCCTTTATGATGAAACACAATTAAGTGCGACCAGTTTACAGCAGTCACCTTACCTTCAGATGTTTTAAAAGAACATTTTGCGGTAGCCTCCACAGTAAAAGTTAATTTCCTCTTCTACTTTTATCTAAAACCAGTAGAGGTTGAGGTTTTGTCAGTTAGACCTTGTTTTGGATTTTGTTTATAAATCAGTTCAATTAAGCAGGACAAATTTTGAAAACTGCATCTTTCTTTACTTTTATATTCCATCTTAGATTGACATAAAGACTATATATCTGTTTTATATGTTGGGAGTCTCCTCCTTGAGGGCATAGTTTGCTTTATTTTGTAGCAGGAACACTTGTTAATGGGTGTTAGTATTGAGAGAAATAGAAGGATTATACTGGAGATCTTTTTTTTTTTAATGCATTTTGTGGATTAGTTTGATCAGTCATGCACCTTTTTGTTTTTCTTCAGCTTTTAAAGACATTGTCAATTTATTTACTAAATGTGTAAATCATTAAGTCTACATTTCTGCTTGTGTCCCCTAAGTCCCAAAAGCTGTTAGTATAGGACATGATCTAGGACACTATAGGTTTTTATGGAAAATAACTAGATAATTGTAGCTGTGGGAAGTAAGCTAGCTGTTTTAAGCTTCTGATTTTTTTCAGATTTCCTGTTTTAAAATCTCTTGTGACCTCTCTGAAACTTTGTAGGAATAAGTCGTTTTGATTTTATTGCGTTGTCCATTTATTGCATTCATACCATAAATAAAGTGCTCTAGAGTTCATTTAGGGCCTTTCTATAACCGCCACCAAGCAGACATGAGGCGGTTCTTTGGTCAATACCCTAGTACCATTGCTGAGTTCACATCAACACAAATGTATAAAACAATAGTTTTAAACAGACCAAACATCTCAGGTGTGATGACGCTCTAAAATGTGTTTGATAAAGATAAAACTTATAATAAGCTGTTTTAGGTGATTATTTCCTACATTTCTGTTTTTTACCATTAGCTATAAAATAAACTCTGTTTCCTCTAGCCAGTTGGGTTGGTCACCATTAAACTAGTTAGAGGAGTGAGGGCGCTCCCAGTAAACCATAAAGGTTAACGCCAGAGAGGTCTGACTTTATGGCTTTTGCAAAAGATGCAGGAAAACCTTAAATCTGGCCCATATAGGCACATATTCTCATTTCTTAGGTGCTTTTAAAGAAGAGTTCACAAGTAAAGAATATTTTGTTCCCGCAGGTCATGGTTTATACCTGTTCCACCATGTTAAACCAGTGAACCATTATAGCTAACTTGGCCGTTGTTTCCCTCTTGTTAACTCCGTTAAAGCTTTGCTTCAAAATGTTAAAACCCTTAAGTTTTTATTTTTTTATTGTAATCATCTCTTAACCTCCACTTTAAAAAAGTTAAAAATGTTTTAGTGCTTCATCGTTTACTTGTGAAGCTCACAGCGTCTTTCATTATGTCTTTGCTCTTCTTCGCTGAAATCCTTTTGAGCGTTAACGTTCTGCTCTGATGTTTGCCAGGTTTTCTGTGCTGCAGGCGGCCACCGCTCAGTGACGCTCTGTTCTGCTCTTCCACCCTGACGGCAGCAGTCTGTCCTCCTCAGCTGAGATGAAGTCTCCCAGGAAGGTCTACATCCCTCATTTGCCTAAAGCAAAACCCTCCCGGCCTCCTTCCGGTCTGTTTTATCTGCTAGAGGAGCAACAGAGGTTAAGTCAGCGGTTGCTTATCCAGCTGTGCTCTGTTCTCCCCTCTCTGCACCCCTTTCTCAGCTGTTTTATTTTTAGACTGGAGTTGACGATCTTTCTAGAAGGAGTCTTGAGTTTTTGGTTTAATGTGTGACTTTTTTGTCTTTTTCTTTTAAAAATGTTTACACTCCCTTTTGGTTTTGGAGAGAATCCCTCGCTCAGTTGGTTGTGTGCATGTGGCTGTGAGAGATAACGAGTGGGTGAAGGCGTTTTGTTGAAAACTCAGGTATCCTGCTTTAAGTAGATTTGGTCTTCTGGGAGATGGAAGGAGGTCTTACCGGGTGGTTGTACAGACTTGTAAATAAGCTTATTTCTATAGATTGTTGAAAGCATAGCAGGGCGTTTGACATATAACGGCCTAAAGCAAATTATAGGCTGTTGGGTGAAGATTGCCTCGCTTCTGTGTGTCTTCTTCTATCCTTCAGTGTTTGATCTTTATTTTCATTCTCTCCAGTTGATGCCCTCATTTTGCTGTTGGATTTTCTTCACCTTCTCCCTCTGCTGCTGTGGCTGTAATATTGTGGTAGAATGTAAAAGCCGGCTGGGTTTCCGAAGCCTCCCCGCTTTAAACACTGGATGCTGTTTCCAGCCCCTCATTCCAGGAGGGTGGGGTTCGAGCAGGTCTGTCGGCCTCTGCCTCACCCCTCTCCCTTTTTGCTGTGTGTGATTGCTCAGATAAACTGAGGTTTCGTCCATTCATTCCATTCAAATGGCAGTGCCATCATCTTGTTCTTAAATCAGCAGACTCTCAGTCTTCCTAGGAGCTGCGACGGTACTTGCTCCGGGTACCTTTAATTGCACTTCGAGTATAAATGCCTTTACGATAAACAAAGTAGCCATAATGCAGTAGCATGACACTTGCAGTATTTTATTTTTGCAGGAATGCACCGTATTATGGATTGAGAACAGTCTTTGAACTCGGGTTGGTCGTGCATTTCCATTTGGATTTGATATAAGCTTTCCTACAGGGATATCTCAAAGTTTCAGAATATTTTAAAAAGTCCAAACAATTCTCAAATGTCATTTGCAGGTTATCAAGACACAGAGTGATGGATTTCAATCGTTTATTTCTGTTCATCTTAAAGATTATGGCTTAAAAAGGATAGAAAATGCTGACATACCAAACTGGTATAAATAAGTATGTGCAGTCAGTAACTAACTGATCTATTTTTCATCAGATCAGCCAGCAGCACACTTCAGACATCTCTTATAGGGGGCAGTTGAAGCTCATGTTGCTGATACCTCTGTGTGAGGCAGCTCTTAGCTCCCCAAAACAGGCTTCTTTAAAGCCATAGGTGCCAACAGCACACCTTTTTCCTTCCACTAAACTTTCCATCAGTGTGCCTGGTTTAAAGCCCTCTAAGAGACGCATTCTTCCACAGAGGCCTTTTGTTTTTTATTCTCGATGTGGAAAAGGGGCAGGGACAAATTTCTCAAACTAAATCTAAGTTCTGTTTTCATTAGCTGTTTGCTATATTCATCAAAATTAACAGAAATCTCTATTTAATTACAGAAACCAACTTTTCAATGATATCCTTATTAACTGAGATACACTTGTAGTTGCTCCCGCATTAAATGAAACTGCTGTGAGATGTAAATATTAGGAAACCAGAGACCAGCTGCACTGTTACTACTGTTTAAAATGATTGTGCATAATAGTGTTAACAGTTCAGAGCCTACAGACTGGTTTGGGTGGTATGCGTTATAGCATACTGTTACAGGATGGGAAGATGAGTCCCCAGATGGTGATGAAGCAGCCTTATAGTGTTTGAATGAACATGACCATTATTATCAGCTTTAAAAAGGTCGGATGAGATATTTACTTTTGTCATTTCCTGTTTTTCTCTCTTTTTTTATGCATTAAAATTCATATGCAGTGATTTTTGACGAGAAATAATAAAAGACCAAAAGTATTGCTTCCATTTCTTTCCACGTAACCTGTTTTTTTTTTTTTAAACAGTCCAAATCTTTTCAGTTTATTTTGTTCACTGTTGCTACGCTATACTTTCTATGTGAGCACAGCTGAAGTTAAAGGAACAGTTTTATGAAGTTTGGGATTAGACATGGTATTCTGAAAATAACAACCATCTCCTGTGTTTACACTTCAGTTAAAGACAAAAAAAAAACAGATCAAACTACAGAAAAGCAGCAATGAATCCTGCCGCTTAAGAAATTTTACAACTTTCGTGAAATATTTTGAATATCTAAAGAATGTTATTCAGGTACATTTAAATAAACTCCATCAGTAGTTTGAAAATTGTTATTGCTCAAAAAATATATCAAGAATATATTAGTTGGTCCTTTACTTGGATAAAACTTTATTTCCAACAGGTGTAGGAGGATACTTGCTCCAGGACATTTGCTGCCAGTCCTTTAAAAAGGACTGTTAATTAAAGGAACAGTACGAAAAAAAGTTAAAATTGTCTTTTAGTTTTAACAAACAGGTTTATTTTGACTGGAGGTATTTAAGTTTAGGGTGGTCCCTGACTTAAACATGATCTAGGATTCAGGCCACTTCTGTTAAATCTTATGGTACATTTACATGTGATCCAGTGTAGGCTGTGGTTTACTTTCTAAAATCCTTAGGTTTAAACATTTTAAAGTCATTTCTTTAGCATTTCAAAAGTATTTAAGCAGTATTCCTTGGCTGCAACATCACACAATTCCTTTTAATGTCTATATATTATGCATAATGTTGTATAATAAAGTCCATAGTTATGTTTGATGTATAATGATAATATATTTAATTTAACACTTCTTGCTGCTTTAAGGTTGGATTGTTCTATCTGGATCCCTCCCTTGAGGCTCAGTGTTCAGTAAATGATTTCCCTTGATTACCGTTAACTTCTACTCATATCTGTGGATATGTTTACCAATGAAGCTCCTGCATTTCAACTGAACAGCTGTTCCTTTAACTGTCAGATCGGAGCTTTTCAAAGTCAATTTCAGTTTTATTTCAAAATCCATAATTGTGACATTCAGCTTTTTTTGCTAAAGCTAATGATTGTTAGAATTTAGCTACTGGATCAAAAGCTGCTATTAAGATTTTTTTTTTTTTTTTTCATGGTTTTCTGGATATTTGTTCAATGTGCCATGATAATGAGCTGCCCCTGTTAAAAAAAAAAAAAAAAAAAGAAATCAGCAACATCATTTGCACCTTTTGCATGTTTTTATTTGTTGCACTTTCTGTGGTTTATTTAAGTTTTGGTACTCGATGTTCCTTTTCTTCCATTAAACCTCTTGTATTCAGTTTTTTTTTCTCCCCGTTTGTATCATTGAATATCCATTTTTTTTTTAAGAAAAAGGCTCATCTTCAGCTGATCTGTTTGTTCTTTTAGTTTTGTGTTCAAGTGTTAACACTGGGAAACAATCGTTCAAAGCGAACATTTCATTTTGTGTGATTTTTCTGGCAGTTTGTTGTCCGGTCTCCACATTTGCAGTTTTCAAGGTGGCGCTGTTGGATTTCTGGAAAAGCCCTTAAATGATAAAAAAAAAAAAAAAAAATAATTACATTTTGTTTGCTTGCCTGCAGCTTTTTTTTTCCCTCATTAAGACTTCAGTGCCTTTTGTTTTTTAATAATTACCCCGCAAAAAAAGTCTTGTTGATGGTAGTTTTTTTTTCCACTGGAATAAAATCTGGAAAATGTGTAGTTTTTCAAAATGAATATTAATAATTAAATTGATACTAAATTACTACAGCGAAGAGATGAAATGTATTATTTGGCATATAAAACCTGTTTTCACTGGTCTCACTGAGAGAGATATCTTTTTAAACAATCAAATTGAATCTTGGAAGCATTAGAGATGTCAAGAAGCCAATGAGAACCTCTTGTACTTCTGAATAAAGCTCAAATTACGACTTCATCTGATAAATGTGTTGCGTATTTATTTTTGGATTGAAAGTGAAATGATTATTTGTAGACTTCTACTTTTAAAATGTTTAGATGAGTTCCTGGTGACAATCCATAGAAGCAGAGAACGTGAAAACTCCACCCAACCGGGATTCGAACCCAGGACCTCTTGGATGGAGACCAAAAACAACACCAAGGCTTCTCAGTCATTGATACAGCAGAAATTCACTACAAATGTCACTGTACGGCATCTTGGAAAGTTTGTTCAGTCAAATAATTTAGACATGCTCAATTACACACCTTTTTTTTTTTTTTTTGTTGTGTTTCCCTTTGGGCATTTTTTCTTTCCCTCTCAGTCAAAAGTATTGATGATTGTCTTGGTGATTCTAAGGCATTTTATTCTTTCCATTCCAAAATTAAACAAAATATGTTGACCGGAAGTTGGTAAGAAATCAAAATAAATACAAATTAAAATAATAATATAAACATTTATTTATAAAGCTGGAGCTCCTCTGAGTTAACTCCCTTATAGTCACATTTAAATTTGATGAATTGGGAACAAAATACAGAAAAAAATTAGACTGACTTAATTAGATTTACTTTGTTTTTATCAAAACATCTGAGCGATAGAGAAAAACAGCTGATACCAGTCTGTTCCTCTGCCTCATTTTGGTGAAGACAAACATAAGGAAAACATAATTTTTAGTTGATAAAAGCTTGTTGGGTCCTCAAAGCAAAACAGATCCCAGCCCTATTTTATTTTACTACCTAAGAAATTAAAATATTTTCATTTACCACTCACGGGCCACTAGGGGTAAGGAATCCCTGCTTTAATTGATGCATTTTCATTTAAAAAATGTAGGGTTTGTGATTAGTGTGAAAAATTACTCATACCCACTATGGTTATAAGTTGCATAGGTCTATTCTAGTTTGAATTAACAATAAATAAATTAATAATAATGCATATTTTTTCAAAGTAATGTAAAAATAACTCACCACTCACACTTTATTTTACTTCAGGTTAATTAGGAACCACACAAGAAAACCTGTTTTTCAGCAAATACCTCACAGCAAGTTTTATTTATACATCCAAAAACAAACAAAAGATCAGATTTCTCACACTATATACAGATATTACATACAGTGTTTTGTACACATATTACATAGTTTTTACACGAGAAAAATATACATAAAAATGTAAACTTTTGTATACAAAAAATACCTTAGACAATTCAAACAAGGACCAATAACAAAAGGTGACTAGATTAGCTCGTCCTATCTTTAGAAACAGTAATACAGTACATTCAATGAATATAGGAATATCGTCCGCCATCTTTGAACTGGAGCGGGTTCCGTGCTCCTACGAGCCCTGCTGGAAGGTCGCTGTTCTACGTGGCTTTGTCTGCTGCGGGGACTAATCTCATGCCTTATGGTTACAGCAGTATTGTTAGCATCAGAGACGAGGCTGCAGTAAAAGCCTCCCCATCAGTTTAGAGCCAGATCTCTTTTTAGAAAGGGAGACAGACAGAACTGGGCCTCCTCACAGCTGGAAACAGGTGGGGGAGGGTCTGGTAATTATATCAGCTGTTCATGTAATGAATGTCTTAAGCCAGATAAAATGAGGTGGGGGGGAGAAAAAATACCAGCTATTAAAATTCCTGTAGATATAATCCACTGTTTTCTTAAATAGGTGAATCCAGTCAGTAACGACCACTGAATGCTGCTGTGCTGTGCGACACCCTCCGGATGTTTAATAGCTATCAAAAACCACTTCCTGTCAGATTACTGGCGAGGATGAAACCCACAGCACCTCTTTCACAAAGATTCAATCATTTTGATAGCTATTAAAAAAAAAAAAACAACTCACTCCACAAAATACAATCTCCACTCTGACACGTTGCAAATAACTTCCACCCATTGCTACTGAAGAGTTCACCAACAAACCCCAAGATAGAGACTTCTATTCTATATACCAAGTATTCAACAATTTGTCAATGTCTATCATATATAATATATATATTTATATATGTATTTAAATCTATCAAAAGTCATTGTTATACTGCTGTATAAGTTAGCGGAGGAGGGGGAGGGATTTGTTTGCAAAAGCTAAAACCAGACCCCAGCTTTACATCCTGTAGCTTAAAAATCACATGGCGAGATAAAACAGTGATTTACTTGAGATGTACAAATCATACCACCTTTGTTCATTTATGCAGGGCCTGGCAAAAGTATTCACACCCTTTCTCCCCCTCATTGGTCATGTTGAAACCACAGCCTCAGTGTTTAACAAGACGTCCATATAAGGAGGAACATTTAAAATAGTTTTCATGATTTTTTTTTTAAAAACAACCCAGAAATAAAATTCTGGACATTTACTTTGTTTGATTATTATCAAGAGGTGATGTTAAAATTACAATTTCTACACTTTGTGCGATTATAGAAGCAGGTAAAGATGGTGGACAGGAGGAGGAGTTGTTAAATAAATAGATTCCCATCTGGAAGGTACATGCCTATAAAGAGTTAGGCATAAATGGACTAAAACAGCTAAAATAAGGGCCTCAGATAATTTGCATGGAAACATTTTGGATTGTAAGACACCGATGCAAGTCTGGAAACTCACAACATTTCTTCCACGAGTTTCCAGACTTTGAAATTGACAATCAGATTCAAAGCTTTTGATTGGACATGGACGTCTGACCAGTGGCTAAGAGGAACAGTCCAGAAGCGTTAAAAGGGTGGCATAAAGAAAGCAGTTTAGAAACTTCCAAAAAAACATTTTTAAAGATGACCTCTCCATCTATTAAAAAGAACATCGGCCCAAGCGATTGAAATGTTTGGATCTAAACATTTTCCTGTGCTAATTTGGCCTAGTTAAAGTTCAGAAGAATCTAACTGAAAGCCACTTAAGATCCCAAAAAGAGAGCATGGAGGTTGTGGTCGCAACATGAGAAAACTAGGAAAAGAAAGCGTTGTGATTATGTTTGCAAGGCGCCCCACCACCAAAGTCTTCTTTCCTGAGCCGATGAAGACTGTGGTACATGTGGACCTTTCTAGAGTAGACACTTAAAAGCCCCTGCATTCATCACCATCTTCCTCCTCGTTGAAACGGTCGCTCATGTATTCACCTTGAGAGTTAACTCCTTAGAAATAAGAGATGGCCTGAGTGAAACTGTTGTAAAAATCTGGAGTTTGAGCCATAGAGGCCCTAAAGAAAAAAAAACAAAACAAAAACAACCTGATCTGGCTGGTTTCAGGAAGCGGAGCTACATGCAGTGACATCAGGAAAAATACCTCACAATCCTGCAGGTGATGGTAATGTGTATTTTTATTGCTTTAAGAAACTACTACCTTCAAGTGTCTACTAAGCCACTCACAGTGCCGCATCCGACAGTGAGGTCAGAGACTTTATCACGTCCGAGCAGAACCAATAAATGAGCACATATAATATACACTATATTAAAATCAGCCGTTAAAAAAAAGTGTTTGGGTGATGATTAAATTGGACTGAATCCGTATCATGAAGACGGTTAAATAGCTTGAAACATAATGGGTTACAAAAAACATCACAATGTCTACTCTTTAAAACGGAGGGAAGGGGTGGGGGTGCAAATGGCCATCTGAGAAGGGGAGGGGGTGTGAAGCAAACAGAGCGCCATCTGGGGTTTTCTGTCATGGTTATAAATAATCTTTGCTAATGTCTTTTAAGTCATCAAATAATCTAAAGCGCTGCTCCGCAAACATACAGAACACAGAGGGTGGAGGGGACTCACAGCTACTTCAAATCTGAAATCCGTCCGGCTACAGGAGGGGGGGAAAAAAAAGGAAAAGACAGGGGGGTTGGGGGGTTAGAGATTGTGCAAATCCTTTAGCAAATAGTGCACTAGAACCACATTGCACACATAAAGCAGATAAAATCAGAAGCCGGTCGGCTGGATTGGAGATAACAGCTGCTGCTTAATCATTTACTTTGCGTGAAGGGCGGCGTGGCGCTGTTGGCACTTGCAGTGGTGGCACTAACTATTGAGAAGCCGGCAGGGGGCGCCGTGGAGCTGTGACTGGGCTGCACGTCTTTCGGGATGCCGCTGTGGGAGGCCAGTTGATGGCCGAAGGCCGCGCTGAACTGAGGGAGCTGCTGCTTGGGCTGTGTGGGGGTCAACAGGTGTTCGTGTGAGGAGGAGGAAGAGGACGAGGGGACAGGGGGAGCGGTTAAACCTGTCACGGCGCCCTGAGGCATCGCCGACAAAGCCGCCATCGGCTGCAGCGTTACAGAATGGGTGGTGGCGGGCGGCGTGGACAAGGAAGTGGTGATGAGGTGACTCTCCGACCTGATGAGATTGCCGAACGGCGTGGGGTCTGTGAGGGGGAGGTTGTTCCATGTAGAGCGGGGGGTCCCCGGAACCCCGCTGAGAGGGACCTCCAGCAGCAGGGGGGTGTCTGTGTGGAAGGAGGCGGCGTGCGGGGACGATATGTGTTCACTGTACGGGGATGGCACATGCTCGCTGCTGTAGTGGCTGACCTGCGGAGACGAGGCGGAAACCTCAGACTTTGCCAGGACATGCGTCCGAGAAAACGTCCTCTCTGTTATGGAGGTCTGCGTGAGCAGGGGGATGCTGGTGGTGGCCGCCACGGAGGAAGGCGAGGTCAGCGTGGAGCACGATGGAGGGGGCTGGTTGGCCGGCTGGGATGGCAGAGATGGGGAGAAGTGGTTCCCGGCGGCCTGTAGCAGATTGTCCTCCAACTCCAGGCTGGTGAAGTTCTCAGCAGGGATGCGTGTGTTGAGCAGGTCCCCCATGCCGCCCGGTTGGACCGGGCCAGGAAACACCGTCAGGGCACGGTTGTCCACTCCGTCCGCCGAGGCCAGATCGGCCATGGAGGTCAGGCACACCAGCGAGTCTGGGTAGGAGCCCATGGCCTGCAGGGCACGGACCAGTTCCTCAGCCTCCTCTGTGGTGGGAAGCAGCTCCCCGTTCTTCACTGCAAAGACATTTAACATCAAGCTGTCACACAGATTCTAAATGATCCTGTTTCCATAAAACACCAGTCTGCTTCTTGGGTATAAATAGGATATAATGTTTCTCCTGAGTGCAGGCTTTTAGACAAACAGGATGGGTATTGCTGTTTCCACTGTTATCCAGCCTGAGAAAATGAGTTCCATACATATTTATTTACTGCGGCAAAAAGAAACGGATACAAACCTTCAAATAAGTCGAAATCTTGCAGGTCATCAGGTAGCCGCGGCAACACATCTGAGAAATCCTCCTGGTTTAACTCTAGGTCATTTGGAATGTCTGCCATGTCGTTGGTGATGTCATCAGGAAGTTCGTCTGTGCTCAGGTCTGGGGTCGAGGGGCTCCTGCAGCAGAAAAAACAGTATAATTAGCACATTACAATAGCCAACTCTTAAATTTATATTTAGATATAATCCATCTTTTTTTTTTTTTATAAAAGGCGGACCTGATGCCAGCCTGTGGGGGCATCACGAGGCTCGTCAAAGGCATTCCCAGGTTTCCCTGCGGCAGCGCTGGCGGGATGGGTTTCTGGGGCCTCTGCGGCACTCTCCTTCTTTTCTTCTTGTGTTTTTTGGTGAGTGCTGGCGGTTTGGTCTTTTTCCGTGGCTTTCTCTGCTGCTGGTGCTGCACCCTCCGATTGCCGTCACCCCTTAGAAAATTATCCTGAGCCGGATAAACAGAAAAAAAACTTATTTTTTCTTTTGTACATTTTTTTTAGACTCCCCAAAATGTAATTGATCAGCTGCTGAACTGACCATCTTTTTGGCATGCTCTTCACAGAGCGGCGTCTGGTGTGTGATATCAAACACGGGGATGGAGCACTGTTGACCGTCTGCAAATTTGGCTGTGCAACTAGCAAATAGTTGCTGAGAACGATTCAACAGTATGTCTTTATCAGATAATATAGGAAACGAAATGAAATATTCTGGAGAGAAAACTATAAAGAAAAGACTTTAGTGAGGTGGAGTAAATAATCAGAAAAAACAGAATTTAATCCGTCATTCTGAGCATCAAGCTCCAACATAATACAAAGCAGAGCAGAGGATACGCTGAAAACAGTGCTGAGTGAAGGGCAGAGCTCTGTTGGTGCAGGTCTGGCCCTTGGTGGAGCCGGTACAAGTCACCGCTTCTGTGCTCCGGGGCCTTGCTGGAAGCCCACTGTAAAGACAAACACATCCTGGACTCAGAGCCTAGCACTTTTCTGTTGACATTACAAAATGTTTTACCAAAGACAGCTTCTTCTCTGTCCAGTGTGGGGATTTACCATGAATGGCTATGAGAGTTTCCACCCAGCTCCTGGATCAGCTGCCCCGCGCAGTCTGGGTTGCTGTTGGCGGCGTGCAGCAAGGCTTTCCGGAAGGCATAACGATACCTCTTCTGACGGATACTCGCCCTATCCTGTCTACACATGTGCTTGTACTTCTCCCGCAGGTAGGAGCAAAGCCGCAGGAGGCGCGCTCTACGCGAAGAACCGCCATCGCCCTCCAAGCTGCACAGGAGAATAACATTAACATGACGACGAGACGTTCCAACGTTATATGGTGAGGTTAAGCACTTTAAAGAGACAGACCTGTTCTCTGGTCTCCCTGGACTCTGAAAAGGAGCAGCTCTCTCCACATCCTCTTCGTCATCGTCATCGGCGCTGTCTTCTGACCAATCCAGACCTGGAACAGAGCTGTTTAGACCGGCTCATCTATCTCAAAAAGCTTGTATAGGCTTAACGGATCTCACTGTATTAGCACTAGTGATTTGGACATGCAACATTAAGGCAAGTTACCTAGATGTGAGAAGAGATCTCCATGCTCTCTCTGTCTCTTAGCACAGAGCTGCACCAGGTGTTGCAACCTAGCAAGGCAGTGGGCAGAAGGGGAGAAGGCCGTGGGGTGCATGACGACCATGTGCCTCTGATTGGTACTGCCACCATCTTTGCAGGAGACAGGCGGTTGTGTCGTAGCGGAAGGCATTTTCCTGCTGAGCGATGGTCCAAAATATTGCGCTGAACTGGGCAATGCGTTTGCAGGCATCCCCGGAGGCAGAAAGTTGACTGTCTGAGGTGGTGGTGGATTGCATAATAAACCCTGCTGCTGTGCTGGGAAGGAAAAAGATGTCACGCCGCACTGCTGAGGTGGCTGTAAGAGACCCGATGCCTGTCGCGGTAAATGAGCGTTGAGCGGTGACGAGGGGTGGATGCGCGGAACTGGCGAGACCGTAAAGTGCTCAGGCGTTGGCTGGAAAAGTTCTGTGTCTTGGGGGAGTTTCTGGTTGAGCGCCAGCCGACTCTGTAGCTTCTTCTTGATGCTGCTCCCCTTTCGAGGAGCGCCCACCTCCTCTCCGTCCATTTCATCCTCATAGAAGGCAAAAGGGTCCAGGAGTTCGCCATCGGCGAGGGGTAACAGGCGTGAGCAGGGGGGAGATGGTGGAAGTTCATCTATGCCATTGGTCGCTCTCAGAGCTAAAGAGGGCACAGTTATGTTGAGAGCCACCGACTCCAGGTGAGCCCGTGGACGCATTTCCTCTATAGCATCGTGTTTTTTCTTGCGTTCCTTCTTCGGGATAAAGCCGAGAACCTGCAGGTGGCTGTTACAGTATCTGGAAAATAGGAAACGTTCCCCCAGGTATTTAAAAAACAAAACAGACGACTGTTTTTTATAAGCAGAACTGTGTGTCATCAGACTGAAAACCCACCTGCGATCCTCAGACTTGGGGATGGGGTTGGTGCATCGCTGGCTGTTGTACTTTGCAACATATTCGCACTGCTTGAAAGGAGCCGTCTTGTCCTCCAGAACATGCCGGATGCAGAAAGCATACCCATTTAACCGGCGCTGCTTGCACAACTTTGGACTATAGGAGCACAGCGGCTTATTGTCCACCTCTGAGAAGTGTATGTGTTTGCCTTCATACATCACGTGACTCTTGTCCTTGAAAACATCAGCTGGCAGAAAAAAGGAGCAAATTAAAGTTATTAAATTCCAAAACTTTAGCACCATCTATGCGCATACAATGGTCATTCAGTCCATCTCGTTAATCATTTTGTAATCTATAGCCACTCAAAAAAGTAGTCACACATTTGTTTATTTAAATATATTTTGTAAACTTCCAGCTAAATATTTGTTTATTATAACAAACCAGATTGTTTTACATAATTGTGATTTTTATTTTCCCACAAAAATTTACATTCTAAAGGTGTGAAGTACATTTATAATTCCTGACCAGTAATTTTTTTATTATAATCCTTCCATAAACTGTAAACAGGATTTGGGTCAGGACTTTAAACGGGCATTAGGATCACTAATGTGTTTAGGGTCACTGTCTCAATGGAAGGTCAACATTTGTCCAAATCTCAAGCTTTTCTTCCAGAACCCCTCTGTATACCTACTGTGTACCTACTGACAGATAGAAGAGATACTGTCAAACAAAATTCCACTGTAACCTTACAAGTGTAATAAAGCTTATTTTTCTATTGAACAAAATATTTGCCATGTTTCCTGTACCCTGTAAATAGAAATGCATCCACCACTTTTTTATTTTGAATAACAAAGAAAACATTATTTTGCTGTAAGGGACTTTTGTGTTTATCTGAAACACAAACTACTAATATGCAACACTAATGTTTGTGCTTATAACTACACACATGGTGAGCGGATTTCTACTAGTTTTGTTGCAATCAAATTATTGATTGTGATATATTAATAATGTGAATATTACAAAATGTTTTAAAAAGTCAAAGTCCCTGTAAATTAATTTCTCCTCCTAGTCCTTTCATATCTGCTATGTATATTTAGAAGTTGTTCTGACAAACCTTTGTATCATATCAAATACATGTTTACATACAATGGGAAGTTTAAATGTAAATTGTGGATATTTCTGTTTTTCAAAGGAGGAGCTAACTGATATTAAGTTAGCTTTAACTCATACCTTAATACTGTTAGCTTGTCACGTTAGCTTAGCGAACGACAGAAGGCTCTAAAACTTTATACACTTACGACACTAACAAATTTATATGTTATTAAATGTTTAAGCTTTACTCTTAAACGTGTTAGTGAGATACACAAGTTTTCAACAAAGACTAAACAGGAAAATATAAATGTTCAGGTTAGCTAACTAAGCTAAAAACACAAATTAGTAGGCGGTAGCTAACCAGGAAACGGAAATATATCCAAACACAGGACCATTTCCAGTTTAGATTTATTTCGAAAAACACATGCATTTAAATAAGATATCAGCCGCAGCTTATCGAGACTCGTACTGATAATTTAACCAAATTAATAGATTTATGGAGAAATACTTAAAACAAAGGGTATGGATACGAGGATTAGGGCCCGTTCCACTGAGGCCTTTGCAATAGTCGATATGAGTTGAAGCCACTGTCATTACATAATATGACTTTAGAAAACTGTTAGAGGCTGAAAGGTATAATTTACACAACTCAATTATTAACAGGACAACTAAAATGTAATTATGTTCTTAAAAACAGTAGCAAATCCGTTTATTAGAAGAGGCCTATTAACCTCGATTGGACGGCGGCCTCTGGTAAGCAGCCAGCCCGTTTGAGGCCAATGTAATGCGGCGCCCTCAGAAATCGATGCCGAGGCTTTTCACGACTCCGCTTACCTTGAATAGGTTTGGGCTGTGCACGGTATTCGCTCCAGATAGTCGGCCGAAATGTCTATTAGAATCAGCTAAGCTACTCGGGCATCGATAATCCAGGTAGGATGGTAAACGGCGGTCTTCATCGAGCTCGGATTTTCTTGAAATAAGGAGCCATGAAAACACAGGCTAACCAGCGCAAATTACAAGCCGTAGGTAGGCTGCTGAGGACATTTGTTGGATCCACAACAGACTCCTCACAGCACCACTACAGGCACTGCGGGGACATGACAACAAGGCGCTCTACAACAACAACCTATCCTACCATATTGGAAATGTAACTTTGTTAAAATCCATGCAGTGTGCAACTATGAGGATAAGAAACTATTTATGTAGAGCATGGAAGACAGTGCGGTTCACATGTTAGACATAGACACCATGGAGTTCGGCAGAGAATAAAAAATCCACCTGGACTCCGACTTTCATCGTTCACATGAGTTCTCAGCCCTCCTGTTGCCCCGCTGTTCACTGATGACAGATACGGTGTCAATCATAAACACACACTGGCATCTAGAAAACTTCAATAACTGTTACATAAAATAATTACATTTTACACCACTTCCAAAAGTACACACTTAAATAGGTTTTAAACCATTTATTTGACTTCCTATATTTTTTTTCTTCAAAAATATACACAAAATATACTTTGTTTACCTAATAAAAACATCTTCTAACATCTTACAGAAAAAAATAAATATACCCCATAATGATTTCACAGTTTAAGGTCAGATTAGTTAAAATAAGAGAAGTTATTTAAAGTGCATCTCAGAATTTCTATTAAATACAAGCTGATAATATATTGTAACACCTATTACAGAACATCTGCTCCACTGTGCAAAACAGTATGCATAAAGTAAAAGTGCAAATGTAAAAGTTGTGCGCATCATTTGACAGCTCTTGTTTGTGCTTTAGCAAACGGCCGGTTCCTCCACAGCTTGTGCTCCCTCTGTGACGGCTTTTACACATTTCGCCATAGTCTGTGAGGCTCTGCTTATGGGATCTAGGAGTACATATTAAAAGCAGATTTTAAATGGGCATCACTGCCTGAAAGATTAAAAAGTTAAACAGCATATTCGACATTTTAAAATGAAAAAAAAAAAAGAAACATAGTATAAGTATATATATATATATATATATATATATATATATATATATATATATATATATATATATATATATATATATATATATACATTAGGGCAGCAAGTAACAATTATTTTGCAAAATCGATAAATTTGATAATTATCTTTTTCCATTAATCGCTTAATGATCAGATAGCCAAAAGTTCCTTAAAGGAGGCTTTTTGCTAAATTAAACCAGGTGAAACTAACACTTTTCCACTTAAGGAGTTCAGGATAGAGCATACTGACAGACAAAAAAGATTTTTTTTTTATCTTAAATGCAAAATGTTTAGACATATTTTTTTAACAATTTTAAATATAATTACTGCTCTAAGTGGGTCACTGTCCGCTAAAGGAATGTTTTACACTCTCTATACTCCAGTTAACCGTTAAGATAAGACGTAAACAATCATGCATCCATAAAAAGCTGCATAAAAGGAGAATGTCGGATCTGTAGCATTGATGCTACTTCAGTGATCCTGCTGACCTGCTACAACATGATGACTCCCCGAAAAAACATGCTTAAATAGATGCAAAGTCATTCACATAATAATCTAGGAGCTGATTTTCAAATTGCATCTTTACAATGTAACCTATAAATGTACTTTTAACAATCAAACACATTTTCTTTACAAAGCTTTGCAAGTGTTTGTGATGAGCAAATGGGTCTCAAAAAGTGCCACGTTGGCTGACTCAACTCTAATAATTATGACCCATCTGCATAATAGTCGCTCTGGGAACAGGATCCAAGCAGGCTCTGCAAGTGAAGGCTGGCATCTAGGGATTTCTATTGAATCTTTTTACCGTAAACATTAAAAGTAGCCTACCCCTCACTGCGTGCAACAGTATTCCAAATAGAACATGGGGCCAATATTTCTATCTTAATAATATTCCCAACAATTGCAGCATTTGATTTGGAAATGCTTGGTGATGGTGAGAGAGAAAACCCTTTTCCGCTGCACTGCTGCAGGTGATACCAAATGGATTCATTGTTGAGTTTGTGACACCAAACTGCACTTTGACCAACTGGTAACTAAAGTAAAAATTGCTTCAATTACATTTAATCATTTATTATAGTCCCAAATATGCGTTTTTAGGTTATTAGTCTTTGTTAGATCTTTTAAATTAGGCTTATTAGCATTTTTCAGGGATTATACTCCTGCAATAAAATACTTTTTGAAAATGCTTTTTTTTTTTTTTTTACAAATCTTTAAGGGATTTGGAACACATTTTTATACTTATTTGGATTCATTTTGCTTCTACTTGCACAGCAACCATTAAATATCATGTCACACTAAGGTTTAACCCTCCAGATTCGTTATTGAACATTTCATAAAACATAACTTTCAATCCAAACACAGGAGCATCAAATCAGAACAATCAGAGGATGTGGTAACAAATCTAAATCTATTAAAAAGACAGTTGCAAACACTACTTTCTGATTAAAAAAAATAAAATAAAATCTAGTGTTGGTGTTACAAAATTATATGAAAATAAGTCAACAAAAACTGCCTAACACAAACTTTTTCAGCTGATTACGTGAAATATTAAAGTCATCACTGTAGCTGGATTTGCAGTTGAAACCAGGAGATTCAGATGGTTCAAAAACAAAAACACTTCTCATTGCTGTCTGACATTAAAAATAAACCATTTTCCTGTGTTATGTGAGGTTTAAAAATTATTTTATATATATATTTGATAAATTCCAGCATAATTAAATACATTTAAAAATATTTTCCACCAATATTTGGTTAAAATGAATCCAAGCTGTGTGACTTGGTACTAGAATGTACTGCACATTCTAGCTATAACTTTTTCATATTTGCACCTAAATGTTTAGAAGCAGATAAAAAAGGACACCTTTAACAATCTAAAACTTTTACAAAAGGATAAAAGACCTATAGGGGTAAACATTTTCCTGTTATCTGTCCTGTTTCTTATCTACTTCCACAATGCAAGTCAAGGATGTTTTTATTTCCAGATGTTCCTTTTTGCCTCCATTTATTTAAAATGCACTGATCAGAAGTCTCTATAAAAAAGTTCTCCAAGTTCTTAATCCTTGCCAACCTAAAACAGAAAGTTTTTTTTTGGATAAATAACACATATATGTCATTTTATTAATGGTATGTTAAGATCAAGTTGCAGTTGATTGAAATGTTTACATAAGTGTTCTTTTATATTTAACAATCATGAAAGAATCTGAAGTTTTTTTTTATTATTTGGTCTAATGTGTACAATAAAAAAACAAACAAACGCCTATATTTGGGGATGTGTGATTCCAATATGAGTTTAGTTAGATCAGGTCAGAGGCATTGTGTTGACCCACCTGTCATGTAAAAGTCCTTCACAGTAAGCTGTGGAGGAACTAAAGGTTCAGTGAGGTCAGCTTGGTTCACAGCCTGAAATAAAAAAGCAGACCTAGATGATGTAAACCAGTACAAACTGATGAAACAACATGCTTCTGTTTTTTTTTTTATATGTGATGGACTACTATCACAGTTAGGAGGACAGCTGCTGACCTTGGACAGTTCATTAGCCTGCTTAAAGTAGTTAGCCTCCTCAATATCATCATATCGAATAAGATTAGGGGAAACTTCTGCCAGTCTGTCGCGTACTTCATCAAGACTGTCATAAGGCAGAGTCACGCCGGCCAGCTTGAAAAGGTAAAAACAACATTATAACCATCTACAGTCTTTAGTTTTAATATTATGTTTGGAGCTTTGCTATGTCTGACCTCAGATATGGCTCTGATGATCGTCCAGTCCTCCCTGGCCATTCCAGGAGGAGTCACAGCAACCTTGGTCTGCTGGGCACGGCCCTCAGTGTTCACATAAGTGGCAGATTTTTCTGTATATGCAGCTCCAGGGAGAATGACATCGGCTGTTGGGGCGCCTACGTCGCCATGGTGGCCTGGGTGATCATAAAGGAGGTTATACTCTAATTATATACGCCTTTTTTCCTGGAAAACTGACACACTATAAATTTTATTTCATTATTACAATTTAATTGTAAATTGTAATAATGCAGTACTGCACTCAAAAGAGTACAGTGACAAATAACAGCCAACTATCCAATTGAAATTGCAGGTTGAGAAATTAGCATTTATCAGAGAAGCGGCAGAGATCCACAGCTGCACTGGGGCAATCTGTTGACAGCATGACCAAAAGCAGCGCACTCCACATGTTTGGGCTTTATAGACGAGTGGCAAGAAGTGAGTAAAGGTCCATGTACAGACACAGCGAGCATGGAAGAAGGCGCTTTGGTCAAAAGACCAAAACTGAACGTTATGGAATTCATGGCAAAGCCCTCTAAAGCGAACATAATATTTCAGGAGCTCCTTACTAGAAAAACACGGTAGTGGCATCATTAATCTGTGGGGATTATGAGTGTCAATTCAAATTGTCAAATATCCTTCCTCTTTACAATTGTGCACAACTTCATAAAATAATAAAAACATTGTTTTTTCTTTTTTGAAACATGAAGAAAAAAAAATGGAAAAATAAAACTATTTATATTTTGAAAATGATGATAATACACTGTCGCAGGCTCTGATATCCTGTATAAACAACAGGCCTAACACATTGGTGAACTAATCCAACCATATGAAAACTTTCAGCACCAAAATATATCAGATTATTCATATTTGCGTGTTTCTGCAGGACATGATTGTCCGAATTCAACTTAACCTTTAAGTATATTTGCTAAGAGAGCCTCTGATGCTGTGATGATATATAATAAAACAAAAAAAAAATGATAACCTTGATAAATGATCAGGCTGTCTTTTGCCAGGTCATGACGAGTAATACAGCCAGCATCCGCCCCCAGCAGAAACAAAATTTTGGGTGGATTCTCCTTGATTGTTTTAACACCTGGCTTATATCCAAGATCAAGTGCCGCCACCTGACTGGCAACCCTGATGACACAAGCAAAATGGTACATATTGAAATCAGTTTTGAAAAAGTCCTATTAGTGAGAGTTGTCTGATTTTTACCTATGAAGCACATTGAGGATCTTCCAGGTTTCCTGCTGGCCGCTGCTGACTCCAGCATTCTGAGCTATAGTTGACACAGCAGCCATTATCGCAGCCCCGTCCTCTCTCTGCAGGCAGCTGCTGCCAACTACAACAACAGGGTGCTTCGCCTGAGCCCAAAGCTGCAAGAACAGCCAAAAGCAACACAGTTGAGAGTCGATGACTGGGAACACGACTGACCGTGAATGACCCAAAGGTTACCTGAGCAAACGGGTGTGTTCCTGAAGCAATTTCT